AAAAACACGTACGTAACAGAGCCTTAACTCCCAGTTACACATCGTTATCGACGTTATCGACGCCATATTTATATCAGGGAGTCGAAAACGCCGATTATGATCTTTATTTTGACTGTTGCTACACGAATTCAAAGCTGTCAACTATTATTTTCTTAAGGGTGAACAGTGAGATAAAGTACAAATACTCTCCCTTCTCTCTCACTCGCTTAAGCGAAATGTAAAATTTGGCATTTGCATAACAATTGTCTAATTATTCTCTTTTAACTTAAACAAACTCTATGGATTAGAGCACAGTCTAATCACGGCAACATTCAACTTCGGTTCAAGAATAATTTTGACATGTCCCATTTCTCTTTTCCTTTTCACATCATCCTTTACATGTACTCCCGAAAACAGAGATATTTGAAGTTTTATAAAATGAATAAATTATATGATTTGCCTAGTTACCAAAACCCCTCGAAAATCAGAACAAACCAACCAACCTACCATAGCCTTATTTTAAGAAATGAAACTACCAATTTAGGTCCAATTGGACCGAAACGGCAACACTGTATTCAACATGCCTTGACCGTAAAGGAGATCAACACGTAACAGCTAATTCAAAGTAATCCAAAAAAGAAGTTTCATTTCATTTGAATAAAGTTTCATTTCATTTGAAAAATGTTTCATTTAATTTGCATAAAGTTTCATTGAATCTGAAAAAGGTTTCATCAAATTTGAAAAAGGTTTCGCTTAACATGAAAAAGGTTTCATTTAATTTGAAAAGGGTTTCGCTTAATTTGAACATGGTTTCATTTAAACTGAAAATGCTATAAATTTCAGCAGCGTGGTCCTTGACTAATATCCTTACGAGGTTTCCAACAAAATATGTACTAGTTTACAATCCGTTGTATCTAAACCATATCTTTTAAATAAAAATTTTTTTAATTTTGCAAACTAACTGTAGTGGTTTTGAAACAAAAAAGTCGTTTTTTACAACTTTGCTTTAAGCACGACCCTCTATTTCTAATACATATATTTATACGGCATTTATTATTTGTATCGAAAACTTTTTTAATATAAATGTGCAGCAGTTTTCCTTTTATTATTTCTTGTAAAGTTAAGTGTTAATTTTATATGCATATTTTTTTATTTCGTATATTTTATTTACAAAGAGGAAATAATTAAATGATACATTTAAATGTTGTTATTTTTTATCGTTTAATTATGTAAATGTAAAATAAATATTTATTTTTATAAATAAATTGTTAGAATATACTTTAGAAATACTTTATTGTCTTGAGTTTAATTGTGAAGGTGAGTTTTTTAGAAAGCATAATTTCGTAAGTATAAATTTATTAAATATTACAATGCTTCACATCTTATTTGGAATCTTAGCATGAGTCAAATTAATTTTTCCGACTATTATCAGCAAGTGGCCAATAGTGAAATTTTCGGTATCCAAATGTCCCAGTGAACAAAAGATATATTCTAACAAGCCCAACGGTAAACTACTGGAAAGTGGTTACGATGCTGAGGATTATGCCGACTACCTAGTAATTATTGTGCCGCGAAAATTCAGCACCACTGTATCAGACGTTATAAGTGTAGATATGCGCGTGGTGTCAAACTGGTGTGCCCATGAGGGCCTCTGCATAAACCCGCAAAAGGCAGTTGAACGCTGGTTCGGCTACCCTTGGTGAAAGAGTGTTTGTGTACGTTGACAAAGTCAAATATCTCGTGGTTACCCTGGATAGGAGAATAAGTTGGGATTTCCATCTAGACAAAACTCTTAGTAAAACCACCTTAGCCATGTGGGTCTGACGAACACTTTTCGGTCGAACATTGAGCCTAGACTCCTAACTAATAGAATGGCTCTATCGAACTACAGTCCGTCCGATTGTAACTTATGCCTCTATTGTCTGGTGTCCAAAAATGCTGCAAAAATTGCTGTTTAACATCTGAACAAACTCCAAGGGATGAATCTACTGTCGGTGACAGGAACTACGAGAACGTGTCCAACCACGGAATTAGAGTCGCTTCTACGCTGGACCCCACCGCACATTTTTGTCCAAGCAGCAGCAGCTTCGAGGAATTTGCCAAATTGAGAATGCAAAATTCTGACAATGCTTTTAAAAAGAAGACAACACAAAGGTGTTTTGAGCAAAAAACCAGGTCAGGGAATCTGCAAGCTCTCAGACGCTAAGCCAAAGGAAATCTGCTTTGGAAGAAAATTCAGATCAAAATTCCAGACCGCGATATCTAGTCAAATGGTTTACAGAACTAAATTTCAGATATGTACACTGGTACACAGACAGATCAGACCTGGCACAAAACATTTATTGCAATGGCTACTTGGCCCACGGTTTTTCAGGCCGAGGTACTAGCAACCTTAATTTGTGTCAGACTGTACCTTGGGAAGGGTTTAAAAGGCGCATTTCTAGTATTTTCAGATAGCCAGGCGGCCATAAGGACCCTTTCAAATAGGACGATCACTACCTTTTTGAGATATTAAGGGTATTCTCTGAATCTTGCAAAGCCCTTGCATGGCGCACAGATTGCACGGTAAAAACCGGTTCTCGTATGGGGCAGCTTTGCAAACCGGAGAATACTGCAATACTGCAAGACTCGGAGAATATCGCTATTGTGTTTTCTCTATTTCAACACATCCCCGACAATATTTTCCAGCTAAAAATACAAAATATTTTTTTTTTTGTTTTCAGTTTCATTCTCATTTATTGCACAAATACAATGTCCATTACTAAAATTTATTTGAGTAGTAATTTGTGGTTAGTTAATCTAAAAAGGGAGAGAAAAAATGAAAGAACTACATTTATGTATGTATGAATTTATTTTGATTAATGATTAGAATTACATATATTTAAAGATAAATTTAAATTTATGTATACATATGTAGCACTCTCATATAATGCATTACATGTAGAGTTCTCCCATTTCAAATTAGTCACATATACAGTTATATTTTTTTTTTTGTTTTACTTCTAATTTACATGCATACATACAAACATTTTCGCTTAAAATATTTACCCATTTAAATAGGGGAACCGCACACTTAATTTTAAATAGTTATGTTTATATAAATCTACCAAAATATTTATTTATAAAATCAAAACGTTTTAACGCAAACATACAAAAGTACCACCAAATATATACTGTGTTACCGGCCAAACCCGATCTTAGGACAAACTAGTTTTTTCTGGGCGAAACTATGTAGTTCTATCTAGATCCGATACAACCGTCTAACGCGAAATCAAGTTGGACGCAACAATATTGTTATTTTTTTTTTTTTTAAGAAAGGAGTTCTATTCAAAAATACTGCGGCGCCTGATTTAGTTTACTCTAGTTTAGCCTAGTCAAAACTAGTTTGTCCTAAGATCGGGTTTGGCCGATAGCACATACATACATATCTACTTATGCATACATACAATGTTTTTCCAACACTACATATATTCATTATAATTGTTCGAAATTGTACAAATGCAGAATGAAAACCAGAAACAGCGCTGAAAATACCTAAATTTAGCGAAGCAACAAAATGGGAGTGAAACGATGCGCTACGAAAAATCGATAAGTCGATTAAAATTTGATTGCCGCAGAGTTTCGTTTATTAAAAAATGTTGTCCAGTTTTATTAGATTTTGCTTGCATTTGCGTTCATCATTATATACACACATATACATTTTATTTCACATATTTTCACTTGTTTCATAAAAATTCACTAAAACTATAACAACAAAGTTTTTGTTTTTATTTGTGAAAGTAAATTCACGATAATTGTGGCAGACTTAACCGTAAAAAAGGCGCGTATTTCCTTGCAAAAATACAGAAAAAAATTCTTTTGAAAATTTGCGTTAAGAATATTGTTTTCGCAATGCAATTAGCTTCAGAAAAAATATACTAAAATGATTATTTAAATAAGTAGCCAAATTATCACCCCTATTGCGAGTGTCGACTGGCAGTAGAATAGAAATTTGTCGATCGAGTCGATCATCTTTTATTTTGCTATTGTGTAACTTGATCGATAAAAATTTGTACTATTGTGAATGGTTGACAGAATTGTAAACAGCTGTTTGTTTGTTTACATTTGTTTCTTGAGTGTTTTATTTACATCATTTTTAAAATAATTGCTTTTATTATAAAATTCAATAGAAGAATGAGCGATTAAAAAGTATTCACAGTCGCTAATTGAGCGACTAAGCGACACTCGCAATAGCATCGCTAATCGATAATCGCTTAATAGTCGTTTATCTACTGCCAGTCGACATTCGCAATAGGGGTGTATAATTTTTTGTTTTAATTTGCACTTATGTATGTATGCAAATACATACATGATTATAATTTTCATAGCACTAATAATTATAATAATCATCATCATCATGTGTATTGCCATCATTCAGTTTTAAATGACAATAAAGCAGTATAAATCGAGCTCAACAAAAACGCAAGCCTTCCAATATATTAAAAATATATTTGTATTAATGTATAAAAATTAAATAAATAAGCATTTTACATTTAAAAATCGCTGTAAGAAAAAAATCGCATGCGAGAAAATATGCGCTTGGAAGTTTTACAATTAAATATTAGCTTAACTAATATTAAAAAAAAAAAAATTATATGAATAATCGGTTGCTACATCTTCTAAATAGCTCTACTATGTATGCCTGTGTGTATTTTTTGTTTTGTTTTCTATAAAAATTATTCCAGCTTTAATACAATTAAATCGCATTAGAGCCGATCTTAGTCTCAGGTCCAAATTCATTTACAAAAAAAAAAAATTAAAGATGCACAAATCCAGAAGCGCGCACGTCGTACTTCGCCAATATTAATGCCAAATTTCGTCTTCTTTCTTATTGAGTAATATCTATGTTTTGCATAAGACAAATAATAAAATTTTGTACACCAACACTACTTCATTACTAAATATTTCTTAATTGATTTATAAAAATATTCAGTGAATATAATTTTCGCTTGTCGTCATTTCATCTACATATTTTTTTCCTATAAAACTACGAGTAAGGCACAATTGTTTTGTTTCTTGAGTTTTCCGCTATCCCGTTGGCGGCTATTAAAATTATATAAATATTTATATTTACAGCTATGTATTTATTTAGAAAAAAAAACAGTTTATGTTCTAAAAGCTTCACACTTCAACGCCATAATTCCGATCGACCACATATTCAAAACGTTGATCTTTTTGATCGTCACTGCTGGGACTGCTGTTGTTCGGCGCTGGCGCTTTAGCTGCTACGGCAGCGCTTGTGCTTGGCGCTAATGATATATTTGTGGCTGTTGCTGTTGCTGTCGATGCGGCGCTGGCGCTGGCGTTGGCAGCCGCGGCTGCAGCTGCAGCTGCTGTGGTTTTCGCTGCATTCAGTTCTCTTCGACTGATCGCTCCACCTGCATGATTCTCATTGAGATTCTTATTTCTATTGTTGCTAGCTACGAGCGCTGTATTGATTGCGATCGCTGTTTCGCGTGCCTTGTCCTCTTCATCGTCTTCCTCTTCGTCCTCATCTTCCTCTTCGATGAGATCGCCATCGGTCAGCACGTAATCGGCACGATCTGGTAACTCGGGCACTGGAAAACCTTTACGTGTGAAGAACGTCATTTTTTCCCTAAAAACAAAAGATATAAAAATTTAACAAATGGAATTTCAAAATTTGGTTTAATTACCAACTACGTTAGTATGTTTTGCAACTATAAAATCCAAATTCTAAATAAAATTGTGCATTAAAAGAATGTATAAAAGTGTATTGCATTCGACTCAGAGTAAAAGTTGTTCAGGAAATTTGCAAGTCGTACCTTTCACGGCGACGGTGGGCGAAATATTCTGCTTAAAATTTTTTAGATTTGGTCACTTGAATTTAACATGACTTGACTTAAAAAGAGCAATATCGCCAGCTCCAACACAATAGATGGACCTATCCAAGACTTTTGAAACGAAACGAGGTTTCAGACAAGGCGACTCTCTATCTTTTGGATTTCTTTGAGAGAGAATTAAGGTCCACTCTCGGTGAACAAATCAATGC